TATACTCGAGTATATACAGTATCTATCCTCTTCCCTTGAATGAAAAGCAATTAAGTAAAATGACTGGCAAAACAGAGTCTATTGAGTCCTATCTAGCCTAGAAACCATTCTTGTTATTGGAACCATATTTCACAGGCACTGATGTTTCTGAATTGCAACCTTAACCCTAACTAACTATTTTTAAAAATATTACATGTATGAAAGTGAATCAACACATTCTACCAATTCTTGTTTACAACAGAGTGTGAGTAGGAAAAGCAGAAGTGAAGTACGATTCTCAGATTAAAGAATTGAGACATGTCCATCCTTAGCCAATATTTAGCTTCATAGCAAGAAGTATTCTAGGTAGTATAATGTGTTGGTTTTTTATTTAAATTAATATTTTTAATTGCTGCTGTTGGTTTTGAAGCAGTATAATCCTATACATTAGTCCCTTTGAGTATCTTTATGGGTAAAAAATTGGGTTGTTAATTGAAATAATGAGATTGTCTGAATGTGCTTTTGTTTTAAAAGAAACATTCTTCAATCTGAGAAAGAGAAACTGATGTCACATTGTCTTGTATGGGATAAAACTGTTGAAATGGATATTCCAGAGGAAGGTAAGAGAGAAAACACAGAAAATATTTTTGAAATTATTGTCAGAAATAAACAACAGCCTGAGTTTAACTGTGACTCTGGTAAGCGTATGTATCTTTATCTATAGGTAGGTTTTGATTAGTGTGGTTAATGAATTCTTACAAAATAGTTGCATTATTCAAATTCACACTCTTGAAAGTGATATTTCAATAGAAAATATAGTAATTGGTTCCAGCATGACAGGGGGTGGGGAGGAACTAAACATAACTTTTGTAAGTATATTAATCACATAAGGGATAAACATCATGTACTTATTTAAATTTATGATTAACAAAATCACGAAAAGCAAAATGAAAACAAAAAAATCTAAGTATCATTCCTAAAGGCTAACTTACACTGACCAAAACATATTTATCAGGGTAGACTGAACTGCTTTCTCCTTAAATCTTCATAAATATGCTGGTAGAGCGAGTTTTCATGTTTTAATCAATTAGGGTCTACAGTCATAATTTTTGCTTCACAACTTCTATAGCTTGAAAGATATCTTCAGATTTGTTGAGAATTAACTTCTTGACTTGCATGCTGTTTTCCTCTGGTAGAGTTTTCCTGTTCTGCATTTTGCACAAAGATTAGCAGCATCTAAAACTGCAGCTGTGTATGCACTAGCCTCAATTACCGGCCACAGTAACTATGACTTAGAATCCATTTACAATATGTATTAACTTGAATATCACATTCAAACCTACATGAATTGAAGCCTATCTGTATATACCAATGGTTTTAATTTATATACTGTTTATGCGACAAAATACTACTGTTTTTCCAGCCAAAGATCTTGTCCGCACAACCATTGGGCAAACCCGACTGTTGATGGCAGAGAGATTCAAACAGTTTGAAGGGCTGATAGATAATTGCGAATTTAGACGTGGAGAGAAAGAAACAACTTGCACAGATCTGGATGGATTCTGGGATATGATAAACTTTCAGGTAAGATTTCTTTTTAACTGTTAAACCTCTGTTTGTATTCATCTGACTCTTTATCTTTTTACCTTTACTTAATGGCCAGACCTTTGTTTAATCAAAAGTAAATCAATCCCAGCCTAATAATTCAGATTGATTAAAAATGATAATTTAGAAGAAATATCATAAATTGGGAAAAATGAAACTTATAGAAAATACACCACAAGGAAATATCACTTTTCAGCTTGAAAATGCATGTCCCTGGGCTGCTGAGAGCATACTAATTTCCACACGCAAAACTCAAGCTTATTTTGGCCATCATGTCAACTTGAAACTCGCATCTTACAATAAAATTTAGGGTTCTCCAGCGTGCCCCAAATTCAGTGATCCATATTAAATTCTCATTCACCCAAAGCAGCAGGATACAAGGCAATGTTGCAAGACATTCCTAAGAAATAGCTAACAATGTGTTCTCTTTGATTTCTTGGTGAAACTATTTCTTAAGGAAGCTTACTATGCTTTTTAACACTTTTTAATGTAAGAGGTGGGAGGGTTAGTAACCTGGTCTGCTTTAGTTTTGTTCTGCAACCTTTCTCTTCCTCAAATAGGTAGAAGACATACATAAAAAATTTGAGAACTTGAAGAAACTTGAGGTGAATGGGTGGCAAATGGTGGATGATGCTCAGCCCCATAGACCTGCCAAGGTATGATACTCTTTGCTGGTTCTGCTTTTAGGGGGTGATTTTTGCATGGCACGTAATTACTGAGACTGCTTCTGAAAGGGGACTTTGTTGAGTGATACATGCAACTGCACAAAAAGGAACAATTAAGTTTCTTATGAAGTAGAATTTTACTAAATTTAAGCTACCTGTTCATCTGGGAACTCCTGTAACCAAGTCTGAGAGCCAGAGATGCACAGCAATTCAGATTAAAAAATGGAAAATGTGATTTGTGAGGGCATGGGCATGTTCACTGCATCTATCAGGCTTGGTTTTTTTAATGGCTTTGCCTTTTCCTGAATTGGCATGGTATCTTTGGAGCCCCAGACATTAAATTAGTGTTGCCTCCTTAATGTAGATCCATACTGTCCTGGGACTCTGCCAGCACTGTTTGAACTCAAAAACACACAGCTTTTTTAAGGAGGTGACATCAGGTACAGTAAACGTACCTATGTCTAGCCTTATTGAGCATATGTGAGTGAAACAATCAAATATTGCTTTCCTGCCTCCTTTGCCTCTTATGTTTCTTCAGTCTGGCATGTCTTTTATATTTCCAGTGAATTTTAAACTGTTTTGAAGCTAATATGGCCCCTCAGTTGATCCTCTGGTTGCTTGCCTTGACATTCCTGACTTTCGCCAGCTGCTAAGAATAGCTTGATACTATGTGAAATCTGATAGGGAACTGAATAATTCAATATTCAGTGCTGAATCTATCAGTATTATAGTCAGTTTGAGATGGATGACTTTTAAATGTTTCCTAGAAGTGAAGCCACCTCATATCATAGTTTATCATTAGAGGGCTTAGTACTAGACATCTTTGTGAGTCAGAAAGTAGGCTTTGGTGACTATACCATGACAAACAGTTCCAACTTTGGAATTATAATACATGTTTATTTTGAAAAAAAAAACCTGCTTTTTCTGTACTATTTGCTTTTATTCCTATTAATAAACCATTCTGCAAAGGGGTTGGCAGAAGAATATGTCCTGTTGGAGGTATATTTTAACTTTCATATATTGCAGTTCTGAATCAGAACCTCAGCCTCTGACAACCCCAAGTAATCTTTTTATTTCCTACCTAAAATACTGTCTCCTCTGGTGAGATATCCCCTGGGAGAGAAAAACCTTTTGGACTGGTAGGCACATCTGAAATTTTGAAAATATATTTTGGGCATCCAATCATGGTTTGAGACAAAGTCATACATTAATTCAGTGACTGCAATGCCTATTCACAGAAATTGATTTTCCCAGAAATCGAACTGGTAAGGCTGTTCTCTACTACTTTATCGTCCATCTAGACAGGTGGCCATACTCCCTAAGCAAAACTCTTGGCAAAGATTTTCTGTTCTAAATTGTGAGTGGATTTTATATGTTTGCATATTGGTTTTTAAGTTGCTTTTATTGAAATTTTTTTAATCTGTTGTGAGTTGCCCGGAATTGGTTAAATGAGTTGGGTCTTTATACAATTGTAATAATAACAGCATCAGGAGCATAGGTTTTTGTTTTGATTTTCTTTGGATCATATGCTCTATGTCTTTTGGTATGTTGGCAACTTGAAGATTTTGGTTAAGGTAAGGAATTCTGGGAATTGAAGTCTACACATATTCAAGGCCGCAGTTGGGGAAACTGTGCCCTATACTCTGTAGACTACTCAAGATTGTACTCCGATTTCTAAGATGTCATTGGAGTTGGGTCTATCACTCCATCTCTGACGGAGTGAAGGAGCCGTGTCTGCATGATATAGATAGGATCTCTAGAAAGGTCTGGTTACATTCCCTGTGCCCTGAGTTTTTGAAGTCTGGTGATTTATCAGCTTTGCCAAGGTATCTTTTGATTTTCAGAAAAAGCCCATCCTTCGAAGGACAGCCAAAGCAGCAGGAGGGTCTGTCGAAAGCAAAGCAGCCAGAAAACGGCTTGCAGCTGTAAAAGCAGCCCTGAAGAACAAGACAAAAGAAGGGTTGGCAGCAGAGGCTTCAGGCCAAGCAGAACGGATATTTGATGGAGGGTTTTTCCAAATTGAATCTCCTGCCAAATCCTTTGCAGGTCAGTCCAAACAACTGCCTTTGTGCAAAAATATGTGTATTATGGTGATAGTTATTGCAGTAGCTACACCTTTCTGACTCCGCATGAGTTCCTGATAGTTTAAAATATATCCACAACTCCACAAAACTTCAAAACATTTTGCTTCCCTGTTCAAGTTCTGCAGCATTAAAAATTAAAAGCTCTGTTTCACCTTTTTCATCATGAATATTAAGGAAGATGCCATCCAGTTTCGGAGAGCAAATTATTCCATAAGAAATATCACTTCCTAGTGCATCTTTCCTGAAACTCACATGGAATGGGGGAATCTTTAGCACCCTCCCCCACCCCCCTTAGTACATACAGTACATGTTGGATAAATTGGTTTTAGTTGGAGGGAGCAGCTAGATAGCCAAACAGGTGAGACTTCACAGATAACAACATTCTGATTGTATTCAAAATCCTATTGACAACAAGTGCAATGCCACAATAATATAATCATTGTTATAACATTCTCACTCATCTATGTAGCCTGCTACATTTTATATAATTTGTAGCTTCCAAGTAATCTTCAAAGACAACCTCCCTAATACATATATTTATATTATTTTTTAATATTTTGTTTTATATTATTTTGGTTGCCCACTTCAAGATCCTGGATGTGGATGAAGTATTCTAACCCCTAGGTCCGGGATGGTGAACCTATGGCACACGTGCCACAGGTGGCACGCAGAGCCATTTGTCAGGGCATGCGAGGTGTTGCCCTATCAGCTGGTCAGCTGAGTTCAGCCTTTTTTAAAGCCATTTTTTTTGCCTTCACCAGGCTCCAGATGCTTTATAGGAGCCTGGAGAGGGCGAAAATACCCCCCCCCCTCCAGAGGCTTCAGTAGCTTTCCTGAAGCCTCCGGATTACAAAAAACCAGAAATTCAGGAACGGACTCCCAGTTTGCTTGTAGGGCCGTTTTTAGTCCTCCAGAGGCTTCGGGGAAGCCTCCTAAAGGTCCCTGAAGCCTCCAGGGGGGCTTAAATCGACCCTACGAACAAACCAGAAGTGGCTTCTGGTTTGCTTATAGGGTCATTTTTACTCCTCCGGAGGCTTCAGGGAAGCCTCCTGAAAGTCCCTGAAGCCTCCAGAGGGCCTCCAAGGGGTAGGGGAGGCTGTTTTCGCCCTCCCCGGCTCCTATAAAGCCTCTGGAGCTTGGGGAGGATGAAAAAAGCATGTAAAAAATGGGGGGGTCACGCCTCTCATGTGTGCATGCACACTGGGAGGGTCGCGCATTACATAATGGGTGCTGCACGCCCACACACGCCCCCCCCTGCACTCCCTTATGGCACGCGAGGCAAAAAAGGTTCGCCATGACTGCCCTAGGTGATGGGAAACTATGGGTCTTCAGACACCCACATCCAGAAAGTAGTGTGCCTTAGAGTGGTTGGAAGCTAATTACAGTAGTCCTCAACTTGCAATCATTCATTTAGTGACTGAAGTTAGAATGGGACTGGAGAGAAAAGTGATTTATGGCCATTTTCCACACTTACAACTGTTTTAGCACCCCCATGGTCATGTGATCAAAATTCAGATGCTTGGCAACTGGCATGTATTATGATGGTTGCAGTGTCTTGGGATCATGTGATCACCTTTTACGACCTTCTGACAAGCAAAGTCAATGGGGAAGTTAATAACTATGTTACCAGCTTAACCACTGCAGTGTTTCACTTAACAACCGTGGCAAGAAAGGTTGGTAAAATGGGGCAAAACTCACCAAACAACTTTCTTGCTTAGTAATGGAAATTTTGGGCATAGTTTTGGACATGTTGAGGATTACCTTATCAAAGTTGAAATGAGGAATTTAAAATAGGTACATGCTTGCTTTATTTCAAAACAGTCTCTCCAGTAGCTGCCCACTCCTCCCTTTGATTTTTCATTGTATGTTCTTGGTTTTTAAGGAACGTCATCCAAGCCCACGTATATTGTAAATACTTTTCTAACTTTAGACAGAGTATTTGAGAAACAACTCTAAACTGTGGAGCAAGCTGAGCTTCCCAGGGAAGGGATGCCTACCAATGGAAGCTTTTCACCAAGAAGCTTCCACTCCATGAATATTGGCAGTCTCTCCTGCAGTGAAGGCAGGAAAAGCCTCCAGCACACAAGTCAAAATCCCAATGTGGTATTTTGGGCCTTGCGTTCAGGCTATGTCTGGCTACACCCAGATACACCCAGGTTTAAATCGTCATTCAGCCATGAAGCTTATTTGGGGAAGTCAGTTTAATCTATCTCAAAGTTGTGGAGGAAGCTGAGTGAGACAGCTGGAGAATGCCTTACTATTGGTCAAATCTTCTGTTAAAACTTTTCAGGTTGTCTTAATAGAACACATAATGTGAGAAAAACTGAGGATGACTTAATTGTGTTTGTGTGTACACACACACATTTATATTTCAAGCATTCAGCATCCTTTCCCCCATATCTTCTGCAGATGTGGGCCTCAAAATCTAAAAATTATCACACATATAACATATTAATGTAATAGAATATTCAATTGCTTATTTATCCATTGCCTACAGGCCAGACTCCTAAATCAACTAAAAAGATTTCCCAGTGGACGACGCCAAGGTCTGCCAATAAGGTTTTGCTTCAGAATTGTGCAGAGATCTGTGTTTTAAAGCAAGGCACATCAAGTACGTCCAAAGCCGTTCCTCCTTTTCCAGAACCTAAAGTATTTCCAGATCCTGCTGAAACTGACCACCTTGGCTCCACATCTGAACAAAGGTATGCAGCTAAACCAGCCCTTTGCTTTGAGTGGTGCAGGAATAACTATCCTTTTGGGGAGATGCAGGGGGGTCCCACGGCACCATAATAGTTTATGGGTTGCGTGAAAGATCATTGAGTTTTTCACAGCAAAATATTTCTTAAGCATTCAGCATACAGAGCATAATTCTTGCAATAGGGATTTTGCCTTTAGATGAACCCCATTTCAATTTCATACCATCAGCATGCTGGGGCTTTTGAGCAAATAGTTGTTTTCTTCTTTCAAGCGAGAAACATCTTTCTGCATCTTAGCAATTCCAATTAAATTCTTAATTCCTCCATCGTCCATTTAAAAATATAGCGTAGATTTAAACTGTCCTGAAACGGTGACTGTAATTTTTCTGCTGATGATATATAACGGATAAAGTTTTTAAATCTTCCTGTTTTAGATTTCTAATCCTTCCAGCAATTATGTTAAATCTAATTTTTATTAATCATATGGCTGATATTTCCATTTTTTCCTATGTTGAATAAAATAGAATCAGGTGGTGGAGAATGCATTCATTCTTACAAATATGCTGGGAGAAATTAATATTTATTTTGTAGAAGATAGCATTTGTGCTATCCTATTTGATCTGTTGTCTGTTGTATTTCACTTTCCTCTTTACAAAACAGTCCTCTCTTTGTAAAGGATTTTAGAAGAGCCTACATCTTACTTTAAACTCATTTTCCTTTATAAGATTGCTTCCATATTTATTCTTGGGTATATTTACTGTAGATATTTATCTTCCCGCAGTTTTTCCAAAGAGTATCTTTTCTGTTATATGCTTCTACCTGCTGACAGCCTTGATTAAAATAACTTGGCCTTGTCTGTTCTTGTGTGATATTTGAAATTTGTGTTCAGACAGTCCATCCTCCTTGTTGTCCAAGGCTTTCATTTTTCTTCTTTCTCTGGCTTTCATGCTAGCTTGGTTCCAATAGCCACTTAATTTCGGGGATATATTTTTTCCATTTCAGTTTTTCCATAGCTCCTCAAGTTCTCTTCCCAATAAGTTAAGTACATTGAATCTGTTCCTTACATTAATCTTCTCCAAGTCATATCTTTTAGGAACTGGGCAGTAATATAGTTTCAAATCTGCACCTCTTTCTTTTTGTTTATTTTCTCCAGTGGCACTCAAGCAACAGAGGAACTATGTGCTAGAACAGACAAAGCAGAAATAACTGTAAGTATTATCTCTTTTTTTAGCATGTCTTTCTTTCATATCAGGATGTCACAAAATTGTTTTTTGTTGGTTCAGAAATTGGGACTGCAGAATTTGCTAGCAGTGGAAACACGTCAGTCCCATTAAGCAGACCAGACCAGAAAATCAACTTCACCTGAAGGCCAAAATGATTGGTTATAAGAATCTTGCAAGTCAATGATTCTGTGCTGCTGCTGCTTTTTATATTCCAGTGGATCAGGGAGGTGTCCTTCTGAGCAAATTCTAAAAATTAATTTGTTTCTCAGGACTTAATAAATCTTTTAGCCCTTTTTGCTTTCTTAACAGTTCTTGCATATTTCTGTCAAAGTCACCCTGCTTATTGTGTACAGAAGTAACGCCCTAAAAAGTGGTGGCTATCTTGTTTTTTCATGTAAAGGGGGAGTGTGATTAAATGCTATGAAAGTGAAACTGTGAGCTACATTTTTTTAAAAAAAACCTTGGTTAAATCATTCATTCAGTTTCATTCATTTAATGAAGATGAAAAGGGTCAGTTTATGCCCTTGCATTAGTGCCAGTCAGTGATTTTAAAAAATCTTGTCTTCATTTTTCTGTAATTCTAAAGCAGGAGTCCCCAACCCCCAGGCTACAGCCCACTACCAGGCCTTGAGTAGTTTGGAACTGGGCCACAGAAGTAGCGGGCAAGCGTGCTCATTTGTACAAGCAGTGGACATGCATGTCCGCCACTTGTGCAAATGGAGTTGTGTGTGCGCTTGCCTGCTGCTCACATAGAACCATACCCTCTGCCGATCCACAAAGCCAGAAAGGTTGGGGGACTCTGTTCTAAAGAATGATCCATCTTCATTCAAGGTCCTTGAACTTTATCTTTGCTTCAGGATGCAGAAGCAGCCAGCAGTGACAGGAGCTCATCCTCGAGTGACATGGATGTTTATCCATTTAAAGAAGCAGCTTCAGAAATTGGAGATGAGATGAAGCAGACCACAATAGATGAGGTCAAACAGGGTTTTCTTAGTCCGGCAGAGAATTCTCAGGCTGCAGAAACTTGTGATCAAGATGAAGTACAACATACTCCAGAACGTAAGTAAAATTGGTGTGGATTTTCTTGTGATAATTAGTACAACCTCATTTCAAAATGAGATGGGCAGCAAATAAATTAAGAAAGAAAGAAATTCTTTGACTGATCTTATAATCTGAGATCATGTAATAATTATTTGGGAATCAAATTTTCAGAGCTGTCTGCATATTTTGTCACAGATGTCTAAGTTATTTTGCTTCAGGCTGCCGATAAAAGCTGCTGGCTGCAATTTGAGCATGCCTTTATATAAGTATGCCCTCACTGCAATCAGTATAGAAACCTTTTATAATGATGATGATGATGATGCAAAATTTCACAAACTGACTACCTACAACGCCATGACCGCGTTGCTAAGATCATTCACTGGAAATTGTGCCAAGTTTGGTTTTGAGTACAGCAAAAACCACTGGGAACATCAGGTTCAGAAGGTTTTAGAGAATGAGAAAGTCAAGATCTTGTGGGACTTCAGAATTCAGACTGACAGGCACTTGGCCTATAACACACCTAACAATAGTGGAAAAGAAAAAAGTATGGTTCATTGACATTGCAATACCTGGAGATGCACGAATTGAAGATAAACAGCAAGAAAAAAAATCACAAAATATCAGGACTTGCAAATTGATGTTGAGCAACTGTGGAAAAATAAATCGTGTGTTGTCCTGATTGTAATTGGAGCCCTTGGAGCAATACCTAAAGGGCTACCTCACTATTTGGAAATTTTTAATTTATCAGACTTGAACATTCTGACTACAAAGAAACCACCCTACTTGGAACAGCTTATATCCTTCAACGTTACCTTAACAGTTCCTAGGTCCTAGGTTAGGACTCGAGCTGTTGAGCTACCAACCAGCCCCAAAGGCTGTGAATCTCACCAAAGATTAACATAATAATAATAACAATAATAATAATAATGTGTTAGAGGTATATAAGGTGAAAGCAGTACTAAATAATCTGCTCAGAATGTTGTCTGCATAATTATCATTTGTTTCAATTGGAAGCTTCCAGATAATATAATTAATATCTATGTATAACTTAATATGCATTTTAAAATACATGTCTGAAAATGAGATTTTATTTTCCAGGCTTGTCCTGTAATGATGGAATATTTGATCTCCAGGTAAGTTTGCTAGAAGTCATGTGAAGCACCATTAGATGTTACTTAAACTGTACAGAATTACATTTTGGAGATTAATGTATCATTAAATGAACATGTTGTTATTTAAGGATACATTATCTCCATGGTAATTTTGTGATGCAAACCTCTGTAGGTATCTCATAGATACAGTATATATGAAGAGGTATCCATGCAAGTAGAAACCTTGCATTTATATTTTGCACTTCTATATTGCATCATATAAAAGCCTCTTTGTGCAACACAGTTTCAACATATACAGATTCATATAATGCGTACAACTTTTGCGAGGTAGGCTGTGTCACATGCATGACACCAAAGGCAAAATTTCAAGGTAGCCCTTATTCTAGTTACCTATTGACTTTTCAAAATAAAAAGTGCCTAAAATTAGTTTTGGTTAAATATATTTGCTTTTATTGTAACAATTACTATGCATAACCAGAATTTACCAGCTCCAAAACCAATGGCTTACTAAAGATGATTTATGGTGCACCTAAACAGAGCATGTAAAACTTTTTAATAGGAAACGGTCTAGCTAGTCTTTTTAGCTTTATCGTTTTTTACAGTAGCATCAATTTATTGCCTGTGCATATGAAATATGACAGTTTCATCCCCAAAAAGGGCTGTGGCCCTTCCCCAAAAAAGCTTACATTCTGAATCTCAACACCGCAGGGAAAAGGGACCACAAAACTTTAGTTGGAACCAAATTGAGCAACAATTCTTATACAATTTTCCCTCGTTTTGTATCCTTCATCTATCTTGCATTACGACTCTCAGTATATTCAAATAACATAGCTATGAGCACACGACACCTTCACTTGGGACAAAATTGTGTTAGAGTCATGATATGGATTCCACCATGGAGTATTGGTTAGGAAGCAGTATATGAGTCAAAGAATCCTCCCTGCTAGGTCAGCTTAAGGTTGGAGATGAGTGCATAGAGTCACATATCTGTCCAATGGAACTCAGATGGGATAATTTTTTTTACCTCTGTCAGTCTATTTACTGCACAGATTGTTAGGCTGGTTTGGGGGGCTTTTAAGTGATGTTCCATGAGTACTATAAGGAAACATTTATACAATTCTTATTAAAATTGGAATAGAGGGGTGGGGTTAAATTGCCTTAAAAACAGCAGCAAATATTTCTATCTGAAAGCTCAGCCTCAAGCAAACAGCTTGAAGGGATTCGGGAAGACTTAAATTTTAACTGTATATTAAATGCATTTTTTCTGCCCCACAGCCAAATCTGGATGTCAGCCTTTTCTTCACTCCTCAGACAAACAAGGCTGAAAAACGTGTTTCAGCTGATTCATGCGGCAACCTTATTGTATTCTCTCCTTTTCCGGACAAGGAGAAATAAATTACGTTTAAAAGCCTAATCTCTGTATTTAATTAATAAGTGCAAAAACAGCGTGCGTTTTCTTGTCCTTCATAAATTTTAGTTCGGTTATTAAACTGAACTGCCTTTTCAAAAGTACAGTTCTTTTAATGAAAAAGACACCTGTGGAGAATATGAATGCTAGAGTGTTCTGTGGTCTGTATCTCTTGAATTTTTAATGCAACAGGACTTGAGAAAAACTGTTGTGAGAAAAAAAAGTATGTTACAGTATTTGGCTACTGCATTTTAAATGTCTAATTTTTCTTAAACTTAATAAAACGTGCATTTCAGTGTATAAACACAATTATTAAACTTCTGTAAACTAAATTAATCTCTGGCGATCTGTATCTGCCTTTTATTTGGATTTTATAGTATTTCTTCAGCCATTTCCACAGATGTACCATATTTTTCGTTCCATAAGACACACTTTTCCCCCCAAAAGTGGGTGGAAATTTCTGTATGTTGGTGCCAGTCCTTTGGTGAATATCAGCTGGGCCACAGCAGCAGGGTCCTTTTACAGTGCTGAGCCCCACCTCTTCTCTTTTCCACAGTGCAGGAGTCAATAGGCAGAGCTGGCACATAACAGGACACCTGTCTGGTCCTCTCAGGCTCCGCCTGATATATTTTTTCTTGTTTTCCACCTCTAAACCTAGGTGCATCTTATGGTCAGGTTCGTCTAAATAGTGCAGAAAATACGGTATTTATTTTTAAATCAAAGTAATTAAGTAAAATATTAATTTAAATAATTGCTTTCAATCAAGCTCTCCACTAATATTATTTTTAAAACTGTTATATAGATCTGATCACTGAATCATAATTGAGTAGTAGGCCAATTCACACCTTAAATTAAGTCATGATTACAGGGAGTCCTTGATTTACATTCACAATTGAGATTGGAATTTCCATTGCTAAGTGGCAGCAGTCGCTACAATCCCAGTTGCTATTGTTAACTGACTCCCATAGTCTTTAGGTGAGGTGACTTCCTACTGGCTTCCCACAACCAAAGTTGGTGGAGAAGCTGACGAGAATTTCCAGGTAGGTAAGTGGCTGAAATAGTTATCTATTTCAGCTGTAAACCTTGATTGACAAACCACTAACTGGCTAATCTCACACAACATTCTAAGCCTGAAGCAATCTATAATTTAGTGCAATTGTGAATCAAGCCAATGTATCTTTCCAAGATGAAAAGCAGCAATTCAAGAGACTAAGGCATATGCCTTTTTGATAACTTTCCTGGGAGACTGGTAAATGTCCTTGATACTCTTAGCATTGGAACAGGTGTGCCCTATACGCTGAGTCATGTTTCTCAATCTCAGCAACTTTAAGGCATGGGGTAAAATCGATTCGCTTAACAACCATTGCAAAGAAGGTTGAAAAAAAATCAGGTCCAGTCACATGATGCCTAAATTTATGACTGTAATGGCTTACAACTATCATTCTGAGCAAAACTACATGTACACAAGACTTGTTAGCCTTTAAAAGTTTTATTTATTAGTTACTACCCAATATAGTACAGTATATTTAATATATCTTTTTTTTAGAAAACAACGATCAGTTTTACAGGGATATTGATCACTAGGCTGCACTGGGCCAAAGGCTTGGCTTAGATCATGAAAGGCATGACACTAGTGAGGGTGACATCACCAGCAACAGACAGCTTGGTGATCTGCTGCAGCTCTTTAATACGGTGCTTGTACTGCATGAGATGAGCGTCATCAACAGCAACCTTCAGTTGATCTGCTTCACAGAGAATCTGAATCTGTAAAGGAACAGATGTAAACATTCCTAAAAAGTCATAAATAAGAATTACAGAAACACCATGAATTCATGCAACCTGAATCTTGCTTTTTTTGTACTGGGCACTATGGACTTGCAGAGCTACCATTTTGTGCTTGACATGCTTACATTTTAAAAAGCACCACAAATATTGTATGAAACTAGAAAATGTGGTGGGAAAAGTGCCCCATCCCAGCCTCAAGAGCTTCAAAAGAGAGCCATGCTAAATTCAGCATCGCAAATTTTTGGCCAAGTAATTTTTAAAATATATATATATACATTTCTTTGGATAGCATACATATTTTTAAACACACCCTTCACAAAAACTTATGGAATTCAATTCAACTGAACTGACACAATGTTCTGTTGCATTCTACTCCCATTTTAAGTCTAGTCTTTTATCACTTTCTGGTAATCTTCAAAGAACCTTTATGATTGCCTCTATGTTGAAGTACACTGGGAATGACAATGCTCTGCTTCCTATGCAGAAAAATGAGAGTGTCAGAGGACATCCTCTGGGGACCGGGAGACGCTTCCTACTCATCGCTTGAGGTCATCTGAATTGCAGCCCTCATATCGGAACCAGTTCTCCATCCTGCTTTAGGTGCTATGCAGAAACAAGGCAGCAGGATTGGATGCATTCACAGGGCTCACTTAAAATAGTGATTGAGCCATTTTCTGTGTAATAAATTGAACCATATACTAATCAAATACTTTAGACTTGTACAATATCCTACTGCATAGATAAACACCAAAATTAACAGTAAAGCTCAGCATATTGTTCAAATGCAACCACTAGGTATTTTCCCCACTTGTGTTGAATGAACATAATACAAGCAACCCGTCTTCCTCAACCTAAAGCCCCTCCAGAGGTACTACAACTCCCGACTCCTAAAATTCCCACTCAGTTTGGGTATTGCTGGGGATTCTGACACAGGTGATCTCAAACATGAACCCAAGAAACAGAATTATTGAAATGGAATCAGGTAAATTAAACTGTCCTTGCAATATTCAAATAAATAACTTCCAGGCAATCAAGTTAATCCTTAGCTATCAAAAGAACACCTGATGCAAAAACTTTTACCTTAAAAGGTTTGCCAGCCTCAAAAGGAAACCTGGGTGCCGTCCGGTCTTCCGTCCCCCAGACATTGTGAATCTTGCTGTTGCATACAATCACCTTCCTGTTGCTCTCATTGAAGCGAGGGTTAAAGTGGAAAGCAACGTCATCGCCTTTCTTGAAATCTAGTTGAAATCTGCGAGAAATGAGGACCCAAACTTTTATCCCAATGTTCTATGCAATGCAAATGACCAGCTGTCCACAAGGCGTATAAATCCTTCCATTCCCCACCATTCAGTCAAAGCTGAAGCTTCTTGGATGAGAAGCAAAACAGCTTCAAAGAAAAACCAGAAAGTCTAGTTGCCTCTTGAAAGAAAGGGTGGAAAACTATCTCTGGGACAACCATGACCTGGATGACTGAGAATGTTCTACAGGAAACTTATAAAACAAAGCTTTTCTATTTATTCATCAAATTAATTATTAACTTGAAAACTTGGATCTGCAGTGTGGTGCCCCCGGTTGCCAATGTGCCTATGGGCATCATCAGGTTATTTTATTTTACTATTAAAACTTTAAATGAGAACTTTGTGAGCTGTAAAGCAAAGCCTTCCTCTCACATATAAATTTTATTTCTAATCATACTTTTATATCCATTTTGGTTCACACGCATTCTTAGATAGTTAAAATCACAGAGGTTTAATAAAACGAGAAGCTAAAGAAGGGAGTGAGATGGGTGGAGGTAAAAGAAACAATAGTCAATTATAATGTCTCCTATTTATCTTCTGAGTGTTTGAAGCAAGTCAGAATTTTCTGGACAGGTGGACCCAATCTCAGACTAAGTACTAGAGGACAGCCACTGCCTTGCACCTTACCAGCATGGCGTTTCAAATAACAGCAACAATAATAAAGAAGGTGAGGTGGGATGGGGTACCAGGAAGGCCCAAGGGAGACATCTTCAGACATTACTTAAGCTTCACCAGCTCTAGCCATAGCAAATACCTCTAATGTCTATTGGACCACTGACCTAACTTGGCCTTGGAGTGACATGCTAGGAGTTCTGCTTCGAGTTAAGATAAAGAAGTGGGTGTTGCAAGACAAGGACTAACTTTCATTTAATTTCAATTTTAATTAAATTATCCATTTAATCCAGAGCTGCAAACTGGATTTGGGAGGGGGGGGAAACCTCCGGCATTCTTTCTGCAGCTTCCAGAACCGTCCAAATTGATCGAGTCAAAATGTTCCCCTCTCCGATTGTTAGATTTATATCCTGCTTTTTATCTTGGATCTCAAGATCAGCTCCCTTTTTGTCCCACAATAGCAAGCCTGTGAAGGATTGTTCCTAATCCTTGCCCAACACCATACCCATTATGTCCCACTGGCTACTCTTTTGGAGAATGGTCTCAGTACATGTAATAAATGGTAGGGTTTTGATTATGATCATCATCTTATAACTCACACACAAATCCTAATGCATCCTTGATTTAGTTTGGTCCTCCTAATCCCTCACCCCCCAAGTAATGTATGCCAAAGGGCCGTGGCATGACAAAACCGCGCTGGTCAAAATCACGGCGATAAAATCGCGGTGCTAAAGCCGTGACATCATCGCCACGCGTCATCACCGCCGCGACAACAGTGCGACAACAGAAGGGCGCTTTAAAACAGCGCCGCGGCAGAAAGCCGACTTCATTTAAGGTAAGCGTTAGGATTAGGTTTAGGGGTTTGTTTTAGGGTTAGGTTTAGGGTTAGGTTTAGCATTATGGTTAGGTTTAGGGTTAGGTTTAGGGTACTAAGTGCTTGGGAATGCACGATTTTGCCCTCCGTGATTATGTCATCGCGGTAGTGTCGCGTTTTTCCTTAGTGCTTAGAACAGCGCGAATTAGTCTTCGCGCTTATGTCTCCGCGCAGAAGGGCTTCGCAGATTTGTGGTGGAACCCCAAAGGGCAGTCCATCCTGCAATCAACCCAACTGTCCTGCAAGAAACTGGATCACTATCACCCACCACTCCATCTTACCTTACCTGTTCGGACTTGGATTCACTGTCCCAGTCACAGTTATTAACAAACGAGGCACAAGTCCTGAAGAAAGGGGTAGGTCAAAAGGGACTTTCTGAAGACAAAAACATCAAATCAAACCAATTAACAAAATTGAAGAGCATACGGTCCAACAAGATCTGTAGCCTGCCTTGACTTTTGGTTTTCTATTTATTACAAATATAATCTCATCACTAACCCCTTTTTTGTAAAGTTATTTCTGAACTCTTTTTTTTCCTTCTGCCCCCCTCTCGGTCTCAGATAAAGGTTTTCTCCAAGTTATTCTGCCTCTAGTTTATATCTCTGTTCTGTGGTCTTGATTCCCAGGAGGGAGGGAGGGCATTCCAGAAGAGCAAGAGACAGCAAAGTTTAGTTTATGTAGGAGATGACCAGATGGAGCACGATGACAGGATCAAATGTATCATCAGTCTGGAGTCCCTAATGCCTTCAAAAGAGACCTAAGTCCAGTCCCCCCCCATTGAAGTCTGTTGACTCTTATCTGGTGCCAGTTCACCTTGATCATTAGTTTATAGATCCAATTGTTATACATAGGTTGCATGGAATAAACTCACTGTGACCTTGAACACTATCTTGCCTTCTGGTTTCTTGCCCCTGACAGTTTATCTGGGAAGAAAAAATTAAGGCATCTTCTCCCTAGGCGTCCTCAGAGTATATGTTTAATGGTGCAAGTTGCTTTGCTGAGCAAAATTTCTGTCTATGGGTGAGGAACAACAAAGGAAACTGCTCAGAAGACCCTCAGCATGTCTTTCTTGGTTTTTGGAGCCTATCATATTCCCTTCTATGTGTTGGGCTTGAGTGTCATTAAATGCGTTTAAAATAAATCATCACTGATGTTCCATCTGCACCTAATTGACTAGACTTTGGGATAGCAGTGAAATCCTCTGAAGTCTACTACCAGTTCGGTGAGTCTGCTACTGAGCGTGTGCTTTGTGCGTGCCACATGCGTGCCTGAGGTGCGCCTGCACAGCGCTAAAAAAGGAACATTTTGAAGCCTCCCGAGTCTGCAAAGGTAAGAACAGCGAGGGGGTGGGAATCTACTGTGCCACGCGATTTAGATTAGCTAGAAAGCAGGAAATACGACGATTCTAGCTGATATAAATTGCGTATCACACTGATCGTCGGAAATACTGGTTCGCCTAAGCCAGTAGCATTTCACCCCTGCTTTGGGACCTTCAGTTTGGAGCCAAAAGGTCTTGTTCTCGAAGTGAAATATTTGAACAGCCACCAAACATTTAGTGTTTAATTTTGGTCTTACCAATAAGAGTTGCTGTTCCTTTGTTTAAAAGAGAGAAAAAGTTTAATCAAGAACTGAAAAACAAACGCAGATACCCCCTTGCCTTGCACAAATCAGAAACACAAACATATTTTTCTCACCAGTGCACCAGAAAATCCTCCAGGTCCACCCTGTGGTGCAGTTGGTTGTGCTCCTCTGTCACTTGGGGGCTGCCCAGGAGCAGGATACATTCCTGAGGACCCTGGTATGTTTGAAAATGCGCCAGGCCCTGATGGGCCTCCAAAGTATGCTCCAGGTGCTGCTATTCCTCCTGGGCATGTGCCTGGTGCTCCGGGATATGTGCCTGGGGCGCCGGGAAGTGCTCCTGGTGTGCCGGGAAGTGCTCCTGGGGCGCCGGGAAATGCGCCTGGTGCTCCGGGAAATGCGCCTGGTGCTCCGGGAAATGCGCCTGGTGCTCCGGGATATGCGCCTGGGGCGCCAGGATATGCGCCTGGGGCGCCGGGATATCCACCTGGTGCTCCAGGAAATGCTCCTGGTGCTCCAGGAAATGCTCCTGGTGCTCCAGGAAATGCTCCTGGTGCT